GCAAAGGTTTGTCATTTACATGTGTTTTTATAGACTGTGAATGTACGATTGTATCAAAAGAGATTAAAGCAATAATCTCTAAACTCAATTCCTGGAGGGCCGCAGCTCTGCATAGTTTAGCTCCAACTCACACATGCTTAATAGTCTTTAGTAGTCTTGAACACCTTGATTAGCTGGATCAGCCGTGTTTGATTAGGGTTAGAGCAAAACTATGCAGAGCTGCGGCCCTTTAGGAATCCAGTTTGAGACCTATAGATTAAAGCATTCAGGCGATAGAAATTATTTCATTGAATTTCTTGTACTATGAAGACTAATGCTACTTTACTTTTAATTATTTGATTTCTGTGCCTGATTTCTTACCAAATAGAACTTTGTCAGATTGTATTCATATTCCTATAGATATCGCAAAAAAAAAACATCGCAATGTCAGATTTTTCTAATATTGTGCAGCCCTACATATAAACAACCAAAAATATGAGACTTTGAAAAAGATTTGGTTATGTGTCTGCATACTACTTGTTTAGGGCGGTTAAAGGCAAGTGCCAACAACCACACAACAATGGTGAAGTGTGTTGTTGCACAAGTGTTTGCTAACCCTTTATCAGCAAAGTGTTGATTTGCTTCATTTTACAACCAATAGCAGAGATTCGTAGGCCTGTCATGATATCTAATTTTTTTGTTATACGACATATCACATCAAAATATATTTTGATAAATGATATTATTGTCAATTTAAGACCATTTTTAACCACTTATAATATAATGCCAGAATGACATATAATATCATCACGATGCAAGTACACTCTTACAAAGAACACATCATATTTTATTCTTGAGAATATTTAATTTCATTTTAGTCATTTTAACAATTTAATAATCAGGCATTGGAAACAGAATGTGAAAACGCATATAATAAATAAATAATAACAAATGTTAACATGAAAAAGGTAGAAAGTAACTGAGGCTGCGATATCCACTACCAGATCTATTTTTCATTTCAGGCAGCACATGAAAATATACTACAGTCATTTATAGTAAGGGTGACACGGTGGCACAGTAGGTAGTGCTGTCACCTCACAACAAGAAGGTTGCTAGTTCGAGCCTTGGTTGGGTCAGTTGGCATTTCTGAGTTTGCATGTTCTCCCCGTGTTTGTGTGGGTTTCCTGCGGGTGCTACGGTGTCCCCCACAAGTCCAAAGACATGCGCTATGTGTAAAACATGTGCTGGATAAGTTGGCGGTTCATTCTGCTGTGGCAACCCCAGATTATTAAAGGGACTAAGCTAGAAAGAAAATGAATGATTGAATTTATAGTAAATACTACAGTGTTTTTTTAACCAATCTGACATTGACACCTCCAGTAGAGCTGGACATGTTGCTAGAATGAGTTTTTAAGCATGGGCGATATATCTTGCATTACAAAAAATTATTAAGGTCGTGCCCATTTGTTGTGGGGTTAATTCGATATATTGATTATTGTGACTGGCCTAGAGATGCATCTTTCAAATTCTACATACACACCATCGCCAATAATGGCATGCCATCAGTTTCTTACAGTTAATGTTTACTAATAATGTGACGTACATAGAACAGTCGTTTTCAGTTTTTGACTACAGCGTTGTTGTGTATACATAGTATAATCCAAAAGATGCATTGTGCAGGGTGGATTAAAGTGTCCAACTGCCTTCACGTTCATCCTTGATGTTCAAATATTTGTTCAAGGGTGGAGCACAGATGATCCGAGCATCATTACCTGTGCAAATCTTGGTAAAGTTCCACCAGATGTCGGTTGAGGGTGAATAAATCATTTGTCATGTGCACTTTCACAACATTTGGGTGTGATGCAATCTATAATAGACTGTGTTGTAATAAACCACTTTACGAAACCGCTTTTATATGACATCTTTTGCAAATCTAATGATTGTCTTCAAAGTAAAACCCCCGTGTTTGAATGAAACTGCGACAGGGCATCTTGTGCCGTGGGAACATTCAGTGTAAAAATTGCTCCCAAATGAGAAGGGAGAAGATGACTCTGCTGTCTAGCAGGCATTATTAACCCATGCATTTGTTCTAAATAAATCAATTTGTCAGCATTGATGCGATAACTTTAGCTGTATAGACGTTTGTTGTCTGTGCAGTAAGTTCGCAATACTATAACAAATTGATTTTTTTCTTCTAATCTCTTGCAGCAGTCGTCTCCACCCTGCAGTACTAATGAATTGCAGTGCACTTGCACGCTCTGCACTCAGACACTTTAGTGGTTTTTATATCTTCATCTTATCATTTTGCCGGTAGCTCTGATCTGTGGATCGGCTGCTATTTTGTGCATAAGCTTCAGAATGGCCAAGTAGAGTCCTGCAAACAGGAGGAAAAAGATTTGCACTTTAGATCTTGTATACATTGATGTACTTTTGCTAGCATTTGAAAGTACCTAGTGTGTATGGAAATTAGGGATGCACAACATATTGTTTCAGCATCGATGTCACAGTGTGATCATTCGCAATGGTCACAATGTTGAGTCTGGATTATAATTGATCATTTCGCAAGTGTTTTTTGAGGCCGCTGAATGTGTGTGTGAGGGTTTTAAAAGCATTCAGGCTCAAGATATTGTACCGTTTGACACATTAATAAGAATTAATCTTATTGAATTATCTATAAAACAGAGACTATGTCATTTTATTTTGCGCTTGATTATTAAACTACTGTTTACCTGAATACAGATCGACTCCTTGAAAACAATCAGAAAAGCTGTTTATTTTCTTTTTGTATCTTTTTCTTTATTGAATTTATCTGTGCTTGTAAATTGTTTGCTATATTTTATGCTCTCCTATACAAGAGACAATCATATCAATCAATCTAAAACAATAAATTCTTTTGAAATAGTTATTCAACTCATCTAGTGAAATTGTATTCAAATTGCAATATATATTGCAGATTTTAAAAAATCACAATGGTAATTTTATTCCAATATCGTGCAGGCCTAATGGAAATACTGTCAAAGCTAAACGTAAATATCTCGGCTGTAGCCATGGGACGATAACCAGCTTCAAGGTTTATAGAGGTTTAGAAAAGTCAAGGTTTTAAAACCGCCAGAATATCATAAAGTCATACAGACTTTTTTTTTTTTTTCTATTAGTTTTCAGAAAAAAACTACTGTTTCAAAATATTTTAATTGTTTCTTAAAATAAAATATATTAGGTTCAATGGGGGGAAAAGTCTTTTTTTTATCCACACATTTAAAAAGAGCATATTTTAAAGCAGTAATCACAAAACTGTGAAAACGTGATGCTTTTATTCAAGGTTATCATACCATCACAATCTTACACCAGGCCATGCCTAGTTAGCTAGTATTTGTCTTTGCTGGATCAAATGCATTTTGCGGAATGATCCAAATTCTGGAGCTATGTTAGTGTTGCATTTAAAACACATATTGATATTGTTGTTTTTCTTCATGAAAAGACTCAGTCTTATGTTGGTTAATGGTTAATCAGGTGAACTGGTTTACCTTATCATCAAAGAGAATGCGATTATATGGTGTCATTTGTTGGCAGTGGGACTGGCAACTTATTGTGGTGATGACTGGTTGTATTGAAATTCTGAAATGTTAATTTCATAGCAACAGTGACCTTGTTATGTTTTTAGCCTGTTACATAATCTATTTATTAAGGTTGAAGCCATTTAAATGCTGGATTTGTGTTTGAAAATGGTAATATTCATATTTTCTTTTTGTTTTGTTTATTTTAATGTTGCACCCCTTATTCAAAATCTTGGGAGCAGATTTCTTTTGCTGTGTCATGGCATGTCATAAAATATAAACATTGTAATTTATAATTGCCAGAAATGTTTAGAAGTGAACAAATTAAAAGTGAATGTCATCTAGTTGCATTTTACTGAGCAGACAGTGTGGTTGAAATTTTGAACTGTACTTTAGTGCTTTGAGATGTGCATTTTTATTCAGCGTGTTGGCATAATCTCAACCTTGTTCGCAATAGTCACATTGCAAGATTTGCAATGTTAAATTGGGATTATATGTAATACATATACATTAATACATTAACTGTAATAGAGTAAAAGTTTCTCATCTGCAAAGTGGTTTAAGTCCTGTAACTGTATGAGCATTTAAGAGAATTTAAATAGCACATAAATAAGTTTAATAACGATTAATTTGTTTAAATATATTATATGATAATTTTCTTATTTGACATTTTGATTAATCAAATTTCTGTACCTGATTGCTCTTAGAAAATCATAAAGCACAGTTTATTTCACTGTAATATTTGCTCCATTGTGTTTAATTATGAACGTAGATTGTTAATTGTAAATAAATTATATCACTGTCCTACAAAATCATCTCAATAAATCTAACCGAATGACTTTCTAAATAGAGCTATTTAAGTCATCTGGTCAAATTGTATTTCTATCACAATATAAATCGCAAAAAAAAAAATATATATATATATATATAAGGTCAATTTTTTTCCAATATCGTGCAGCCCTAGGTGTAACATGTCCAATCCTGGAGAGCATTTGATGAGAAACTGAAATGTCGTTGATCTATTTAGGCAGAATTGACAAACTGCAAGCTTTATATGTTTATATTGTCACTCTTTTGGTGCACACTAGCTTGAAGATATCCTTAAAGCTAACACACTGATACCAACATCTAAAAGCCTTTATATTCATTTCACAAAACCTTTGAGCAATCTCAGTCAAACAACACCTTTAATGGGTTTTCTGAACATTTTTACATTATTATAATTTTTTTTGTATTGTACAGATGTGAATGATTATATATGGAACTGTTGCTTTCAAAACTATTCCTTTGTTAAGAGAGCAGTATCTAAATGATTGTGAATTTTGCAGATCTGTTGCTTTAAAATGCTTTAGTCAAATGAACGAAATTGAGAAATAAATAACGACATTGTGTCTTGCGTGCATTGTCTAAATGGAGATTGGTGGTGTAGTGCTAATGCGTTTTCCCCCTGTCTTCTCTGTCTTACAGACGGTCGATGACGATGCGATGGAAGCGTGAATGAGGTTTGGCGTGGCAATAGCTGAACGATGCCCAAGGGTGGGGGTTCTAAAACCCCCCAGCTGGAGGACTTCCCACTCAGCACCGACATGGTGGAAAAGCAGGGTGGGAAGAAGGTGAGGAAAATTGCTTTTTTTGTCAAAACACACAAAATGCTCGTTTAAACTCATGTAAGCTTTCTAAGGAGTTATGTAACAGCCAGTTGGATATATTGGCTTCAAAGTTAATGCACATTGCTTTGCATTCCTGTTTTGGTGTCCACGCATTTTACCAACATTAGAGTCGTATGCTACTAACTAATCTACACCAGCAACACTCATCACTGCCATATCTGCTGGGTAGGTTTATGATGTCATTTTTTTAATAAAGAAAAATTGTGCTCTTGGATGTTTTTAGACTACAATGAATGCATTACTTTTATAAGATGTATATTTTAAAATGGTAGAGTTTAGGCCAATCTTTTGTAAGAGCCTACTCTAAACACTAATAGATAGACGTGGGAGTCTGAGTAATTTTACTTTACTGTAACAATATATTTCACGATATAGTCATTAAGTAACTAGTTAATCCAGAAAATCAATAAAAGGGGGGTTATTATATATAAACTTCAATATTTGATAAACTGCAAAAGGACTTTAAACTTGTAAATCATAGGTCTCAAACTCAATTCCTGGAGGGCCACAATTCTATCAAACACAGCTGGTCCAATTAATCAAGATGTTCAAAAGAGTCGTTTGAGACCTATGTTGTAAAGTATAACAGGGATACACTGCGCTTATTCAACCATTAAAATAAAGTGTGTTATGTTGGATACTTAACGGCTGCTGCCTTGCTCACGTGGAGGAAGGGCTGGAGTTTTCGGGCAATGATGTTAAATTATTTTATTTTGAATTGTGAAAGCAAAATTCTCCTACAAGAGTGATTATAGCACCTCCAGATGTTAAATGCAGTTCTACTCATGGCAGGTATTATTTGGTAGATTGGTCATTTATTTTATCATCTGGGAAACAGTTTGAATTCCTGAAAACTATTAGTTCTCCATTTGGAAAGACACTACATATATATACACTATGCTGGTGAATGCATAGGTGCATAAATACACAGTGGATAAGAGTATAGTGAGCCATTTGGGACACAGCTACTGTTAAATTTACAAAAGGATATTGTACACAGAGTTATTCTGTACTCACTTTCACAGTTTTGAGTCAGTAATACAAGTTAGTAAATCTAAATCACAGGTAAAAGTTCACCTCAGGCTACCACCAGATTGTTAGCTACCACTACTAAGTATAAGTATTACTATAAACATTGTTTAGCACTATTAGCTTACTACTAGCGCTCAATCAGAGCTTTCCTTAGACTCAAGCTCACACACTCTGCAAAGGAATTAGCGATGCCCACTTATTTACTTGTCGTGGTGTACATGAAATAATTTTTTTTTTTTTTATGATTGACAATGTATCGATACAAGATATCTGTGGATCTTAAAAATCTTAAATTTCAAAAACTCAATTTTAGGCCTTAAAAAAATTTTAATTCACTGAAATATTTTCTTGTAGGTCTTAAATCGGTTTAAACCAGTCTTAAGGCCTACTCCCAATTACTAATAATCCATCTCAAAACTTTTTTTTTTTTTTTGTATATTTAACTATTTTATTGCAAAGAGAGACGATTCACAACAGTGGTCAGACATTTTTACAGCAAATTCTCTAAATAAAATTCCCTAATCTGGGAAAGAAAACTAAAGCAACATATAGCTTTACAAGATCTTCTATTAACAGAAAAACTATTTACAGAAGTAACCTGGCCATTAGAAAAACCATCCTTAGTGTTTAGCCCTGTATATTTCAGAAATTTCAATCTTATTGGTCTTAAAAAGTCCTAAATTCTGTTTGAAGAATCCTGCAGAAACCCTGGAATAGTAACGTCATACAGCTCAACTCTAGCAATAGATGTGTTTTTATAGAACTTTTGCAACATTTATCTTCATGTGAATTAACCTTATTATTAATATTATTATATACAATTGAAGTCAGAATTATTAAACGGAGCAGGAAAATTTTCACTGTATATCTGATAATATTTTTTCTTTTGGAGAAAGTCATATTTGTTTTATTTCGGCTAGAATAAAAAAAAAAATTTAAGGTCTAAATTATTAGCCCCTTTACGCTAGATTTTTCGATTGTCTACAGAACAAACCATTGTTTTACAATAACTTTCCTAATTACTCTTACCTGTCATTCTGTAGTCATTCTAGTTAAGCCTTTAAATGTCACTTTAGGCTGTATAGAAGTGTCTTGAAAAATATCTAGTGAACTATTATTTACTGTCTTCATGGCAAAGATCAAAGAAATCAGTTATTAGAAATTAATTATTAAATTATGTTTATAAATGTGTTGAGGAATAAGAGCTGCTCTCCGTTAAACAGAAATTGGGGGGGGGGGGGGGGTAAACAGGGGGGCTAATAACTCTAACTTCAACTTTATATTATGTGTTTTTACTGTTAGCCATTAGATTTGTTTTATAAATTCTAATGTTTTTTTTTTTTTTTGTAGCAGTTTCTTTTTATATTTTGGTTTGCTAAGTTACTCTCTTCTCTGTGGATTGAGTGTTCTAGATGTTGATCTGTTTTTTAGCAAAAGCACTATACTATAAACACATCCCCAAGCTTAATTAGTTAAGAGGTTTAGCCATCTTGAAGATGTGTGACGTTAGATTTGTTGGTGTCTGTCCAAGGTTTGGTAAATGCCAAGAAAGGCAACATGAAAACACCACTTAATATAGTCTTTTTTTTGGGGGGAAAAAATCTACAGATTATAATCTACTGCATTAAAACACTGTATGAATCCATTGTGGCTGGCTATTTAAACAAAGCTCTAATTGAAGATGCTTTCATGGTGGTGTTTTTAAGAGGTCAGTGTTTTAGTGCAAGTCTAGCCAGAGTTGGTGAAGAGTTTCTGGCCCAGATGGTGTGTGTGTATGTACATCATTCTGTGTAGTATTGCATCAGACTCTGTGAGGAGGAGGAGGGAGGGAGGGAGGGTTCGAGCGCGTGAGCGAGCAAGCAAGAGTGAAAGCATTGCTAGGAGACCAGTAAGTAAACAGGGCTGCTCACACAGATGGTTTTACAGAAGCAGTAAAACACTTCTTTCTTGATTTAGCTCTCTGTGCTGCAAGATTTCCTGCTCAATCAGTCAATGTTTCTCTAATGTTTTTCTGTACCTCGTGCTAGAGGCGTCAAGCTTAATTCTTAAGGGCAAATAGTGTCATTCTGCATGGCTGAGTGTGTGTTCACACAAGGATGACATCATAGTCTTGTGACCGAGGGGGATGTGGGCTGGACTGAGAGAAACCGCTCCATGCTGCATTCAGCTTTAGCACTGCACTAAGAGCTCTTTAATTAGCTTTCATTAGCACTACCGGTAGCAGACCCAGCTGCTCGAGTCCCACTTCCTTTCTCACCCCTTTTGCTTGAGCACATTTATGGTGTTATGTATTTTTTAATTGTTTGTTCTGATAATGAGGTCAGGGCCAAATGCCAGTTTCTTTTTAGCTGCAGACACATTTTGGTTGTTTTAAGCTACAAAACAGGGCTAAACTGGATCAGGGCTGCAAGATACTGAAAAAAATAATGCAATATTTTGTTTTCCTGTGATATATATTGCAATATTAATACATGAATAGCTCAATTGGGAAATAATTTCTAATTTTAGATTGATTGGGATGGTTCTACATGGAGGTGCATCTGCATAAAATATAACAAACAATCTACAAGCAAAGATAAATGCAATAAAGTGGATGATACAAATTGAATAAATGGCATTTCTGTTTCCAGAGGAGTTTAACAGTATTCAGATACAGTAATTGAATAATAAAATGTAAATACTGAATAGTATTTGGTTTAGAAGAAAGTCAATACATTTAATTATTATTAAAGTTGCAAATGGCACAGCTTCTTAGGCTTGATAGCTTTTAAAATCCTCATGCATTCACAGGCCCTATTAGGGATTTTATTTTACAGATTGAAATATTTAATGTAGGTCTGGTTGAACTGTAGTAAGGAAACACAATAGCTTAGTCTGTATGTTATGTCTCCTGAATATGGCTGATGTGTGTGTTTGTAGTCTTGGTGATTTTGCAAAACAAGCTGTATTTGAGCAGAATGTCTTTAATGGTGGGCTTTCGGCGGGTGTGGGTGTGTGTTGCTTTGAAGAGTCTTGGTGTCATTGTGGGGGTTTCTGATGGCTTCCAGTTGTCGATGGGTCTGGAATGGTTTCTGAGCCTCCTTTCAGATGCCTTGTCTTGTGTTTGCTTAGTATTTGTTATCTGTTGTCTCAAAATCTGTTAAGAAATTATTTAATGTACAAATAATGTAATATTACCCACCTCAACACTTAAGAGATTATTGGGTCCATTTACACGACATTTTCAGCCAAAAAACAGGAAACTTTTTAATGCATTTTGCCTGTTCGTTTACATGACAACAGTGTTTTTTGAGTCTGAAAACTCATACATTTGAAAAGAGATTGAAAAACGTTTTGCTAATGCTTCATCAGCAAAGTGTGGGTTTACTTCACATTACGACCAACTAGATGCATCATACACACACAGCAAATTTTACATGCACACCAATGCCGATGATGATATGTCATCACTTCCTTCAAGTTACTGTTTACTTAAGGTCACGGGGCCAAATACTGGCCTGGCATGTAATACAGCATTTTTGGCCGTTTTTGCAGGTGTGTAAACATGGAGCTTTTGAAAATGTTGCTGCGAAAATGTGAAACTTTATAAAACAAGGGGAAATTAGATTGATACTTGTATACTTATAAACATAATTCAGTGTTATAAATGCAGACATTTGGCTACAGATGCTTTTTATTTGTTATTTTTTTGATCTACGTTCAAAAATGTCTTTTGAATTTTACATTTTATTTTAATGCAGTTGAGTGCTTTCTTTATAGGCAATATCTTTCCTTAAAAAGGTTGTTAAATTGGTTTAAACAGGAAGAATAGAAGTACTTTCTGCCTCCTTACACCATTACTATCACTACTATTAAGAACATGTATTGCCATTATACAAGTATATAAACGATGTATAATCCTAAAATCTTGATGTTAACGGAAAGGGTATACTATAGAGTGCTTGGCATCTATGAGAACACCCTCTTAATTCTATCTTTTAAATAAATAATTTTATGAGGATGCGTTACAATATTATATTTCTCCATATGCTTGGGCTGCACGATCAATCGTAATAAGATCACCATCTTTAGTCGACCCTCCACACGATCCTAATTCAGCTTTTCTATGATTCAGCTAATTATATTTTCAAGGTCAGGAGAGAAGCATAAAGGCGATCTCACAAGTCTTCACACTGTTTTATAAACATTGCTCAGCGACATGAACGCCTCTAAATGGTGTTAAAAGTGTCACATACTGTATTTAAAAGGTATAATTCACCTAAAATTATAATTGATTATAATTATAATTAATTTCTGTCTCAATCTAATGACGTTTTCGGGGCTGCGTGTTACATGAGCTAACCCACTGTTAGTTTACTACTGAGATGACGTGCGCGTGCACGCCAATGATGTCTACCGTTATACTTGCCCACACTCCTGTTTTTTTCCGGGTGTCTCTTGTATTTCAGACCCATCTCCCGCCACCCTCCTACTATGTTATTTCTCTAGGAAAACTTCTGTAATTTCAACCATCACCCACCCTCCCCCAGTCCTCAGCATTTTGGTACCCTAGGTCGCCAACATTGGTATAGGGTCCGATCGCAGAGGCCGCCCGAAACACATTTCATAGTACAGTTACTAACACCACAGTACACAATACCCAGTTCTCAACAGTGTTATTCAGACACTTTACCTCCCCGGTCTCCTGATTTTCAGGAACAAATGTTGGCAGTTATGGTCTACCTTACTGAACAGAACCTACATAGGCTGTAATAACAGGTCGTGAAGTTGTAAATCACATTCCGTTTGTTGCAAAATGAACTCAAAGTAAGGGCAAGCATGACATGAGCGCACTCGGCAGTGAAAATTGAAACCGAAAGCGTGCACATCATTAAAATGATCATATGGCATTTTGGTTATGATTACGACAAGCATTTGAAATGTTTTTTTCTTTCATAGCGAACACAAAGAGTTGTGCATGAAATAAATGTTTACTGTTTATTACTCTAACCTATGTAATGTTGAATATAATGCAATAGGGAATCTGATAATGACAAATGTCTCCATTTAACAGTGAAAAAATGGTCTAATAATGCTGTCAATGACAGATTGCAAACATATGTCTTAAACATAATAATTCAACTTCATAATTATAAATAGTTATATTCTGATGTCATCACTTTACTGTGAATTAACAACCAGGACCTATTTAAAGTCTGTCCAAGTCCACCATTCCAAGTGTATACAAAATGTAGCATTTTAACCTACAGTAGACCTACACATAGACCTAGTATTATATATATATATATATATATATGTTTGAGAAATAACAATAATAATAGCCTACTCATATTAACCTTAATTTAACATCTACAGAATCGTGAGAAACCCGTGATCTTAAAGCAAAAAACAACAAATCTTGATTCTTATTTCTGCCAGAATCATGCAGCCCTAGCATATGCTTTAGTTTAGTCAGCACCGACCCCAAATCTGGAGCTAATCTAACTAAATAACTTCCAATAATAGTCCAAAATTTGTTGTCCAAATTTATATGTTTGGGAAAAATATTAAAAACATATTTTAAAAAGTGCAAAAATCAAGAAAAACAAAAAATATATCAAGATTTGTTGACATTTTGTAGATTTTTTGCTATATTTTGCATGAATTTAAATGTATTTTTCAATTTCTAAAGATGTTCAGTTGTCTATAATATACTATTATAATAATATATCCCTTTAATCATTTTGTTTTCATCAAATGCACCAAAATATGCTGAGCACTGTATATCCGCATATTCACCAAAGACGTACACAAGACTATATAAAGTTTAGATGGTTGTGTCTTCTACTTTAGTTATTTGTGGGAGCAATATTTGTCCCAGAGCAGTTTTATCAGCCCTTGCTCTGTGCTGACTCATCTGCTGCTTGCTTCTAAACTTACACTGTTTCCCATGTTCCCCCAGGATAAAGACAAAGGCTCGTCAAACAAGACTCCTAAATTGGACCGCAGCGATGGTGTCAAAGAGATGAAAGAGAAAGCTCCTAAGAGGAAGCTGCCCTTCACCGTCGGAGCCAATGGAGATCAGAAAGATTCTGACTCTGGTAAGTGGGCGGGGTTTACTCGAAGCACAGAACTCTGGGTAACAGGAAGTGTGTGAGTGTTTGTGTTTGGGCTGCTGCTGCTGCTGTTGTTGTTGTGCTCTATAATGTGTGCTGACATGACAGAAGTGCTGATGGAGAAACCGTTAATCCAGTCGCTGGGAATGTGTTGGATATAACATGCTGAGAAGGGTGAGATGCTCTGATTTATTTGTGAGGTTCATCGTGGATGATTTTAGCGTGTGTATTTAATCCATATGTGGGGTTTTGAGGTAAACTGTTTTAATTTGGCCTTTGGAATGGGCTTAATTGTGATTAGTAATGATTATTTTGTTGTGTGTGCTACTTTTAGTGCTTGTTTGAATGTGTTTTGAGTGGTTTTCTTCCTGCTGTTTTTGCAGCTGAGATATACAGCCTTTCTGTAACCTTATAGTAATCCATAGGCAGAGATCACCCCCCACCCCTCTTGCAATGTGGCTGTGAGGCGTGAAATCTTGGCCATTTTCTCTCTCATCAGACAATGCCTGAAGTGCCCATTGTAATGCTAATAGGAGGAGTGGTCACATCCATTCTTTCACTGGTCTGGCTCTGTGGCTTTCTCTTTCTCTGTCCATTTCCAGTAGTTGTTTTGGAGTATTTATTTCATATATTAGTTACTAACCAGTTGAGCATTTCATCAAGTTCTGAAATTCAGTTTTGTGTAAGATTCATATGCTCACTTCTAAGCCATCCATTTGTTTCTGTAATCTTTTTTTAGAGGTAGCTTGGAGTTTTGTTGCGTGTTTTTATGCTGCATCATTGTCTGTTTTGAATGGAGGCCATCCAACTGTTGGCTGTTCTCCATCTCATGCACCCTTACTGAGAGTTTTTGATGTAGTTGAGCTGGTTTTCTTCATGGTCTCCTCCTCAGTTGGACGGTTTCCATTACAGAACTAGTTATTAGAATCTTTGTTCTCTTACTGCAGTGAGTGAGTGACTCTTATGGTTGCTGCTGAAAGTAGTTGCATACATGATTTTTGTGTTTACTGGAATCGTTTTAATCATGAAGGGTTAACAGTTGCTACGAAACCTATTATCAACTCTACATTAAAGTATATACATGGCTTTATACAATAATGACACAATGATTGTTTATCACGCTGCATTGATTGAGCTAGAGTTAGTTCTTCAAAAAATAAAAGCAAACTTATGAATAGCGTGTGCATAGTGGATACAGTTGGGGAATTAATTTATATGTTTGTGTATATATTATATATTTTTATTTTTGGCAGTACCCGTAACTATAATTTTTATTGTTGTTATTGGACCAGTTTTGTGTTTTTTGTTTTTGATGGCCGATATCTCGGAAAGCATTGTTGCAGGGTTGCTGGTGATATTTTTAAATATCCTAATTAATTATCACAATCAAATTGAATAATTTAAATAAATATATAAAACACACACAAATTGAAAAAATATTATGTTAATTATTAATGAATTATAAATAATAGTCCAAAATGATTTTATGTGGATAAAAAAAACTAATTGGTAAAGTTAAAAAAAATGAGGCCACACAGTTGTTTAAATGTAAGTTGCATGCTGGTCGTTTCTTTTGCTTTGTATCTATAATCAATTGATTTACAATGTGGGCATGGGCTGGTATAAGATTGTGACAGTATGATAGCCTTGGATAAAACATTTTTACAGTTTCACAGAACTGTGATTATTGCTCTAAAATATGCTCTTTTTAAATGTCTCGGTTAAAAAAAACTTTTTCCTAGATTAAACACAATTTATTTTATTTTACAATAAACATTTATAATATTTTGGAGCAGTAGTTTTTGATGTGGAGGGTCTTTTTCTGCTGGAAATAATGTTGCCCTAAAAAAAATAAAATAAAATAGTCGCAAAAAGCATTGCAAACTAGGGCTAGTTCGAAAATGTAGGTTTCGGACAAAGCATGATGTAGCAGAAAAGGAGTGCGTCGTAGTGACTCCAGTATTTTACAGGTTGACCCAAGGATTCTAAATATGTAAAGTTTTTGAGTCTACAAGAAACCGTGTACAAATGTGAGCCAAAATATTTTACTCAAAATAATCTGATTCAAAGACTCTTCCAAATTGGCCCATAGGTGGCACTACAGCATAAAAAAAAAAAAAAAAAATATATATATATATATATATATATATATATATATATATATATATATATATATATAGTTTTTAATGCTGTATTGCCACCTATGAGTTAATTTGGAAGAGTCTGTGGATCTGAGTAGCAGTGAGGACCACTACCATCTGACCAATTTTGAAGCCTCTAGGCCTTATGCTTTGGCATGGGCAATAGTTATTATAGCAGAAGTAAAATAATAATAATAAAAATCCTAACAAAAACAATACAGTTTCAGTGCTTCACAATTTTTAGTCAGCCAGGAGGCAACATGATCGTTCTCCTTATGGGGTATATACACACAGACTTTTAATTCTCAGACAGGCAGCCCGAAGGTAAACTGTCTTTCCATTACAAAATTGTTACGCTTAAGATCTGATTTCTCCAAAAAAAAAAAAAAAAATCAGAGATCTTCACAGCCTGTTAAGTTATACAATATGAAGTGGGTCTCAGACCGAACAAGAAGCACTGCATTAAACTCCATTACCTCCCGCTGTGCCTTAAAAAATGATATTTATTTTACCCCAGTATTTTCAATGAAGTTTTTTTCGCTAGCCTGTGGCTACAGGCAGTGCTAATGGCTACAATGGTCTTTCATCTCGTTTTACGCTTGAACAACTAAATGAATGCTTAAGTCTATTTAACTGATTGTATTTTAATTAAATTACAACATTGATGCGGTAAAAACAACCTTGTGAAATTGAAAATATACCCATTAAGCTTTCACCGGAAGTTTATCATCGGCTTTAACACTCTAGCTGTGCATAGATCCCATTGTCCACTGCTAAAAATATATTTTTTAATATGACGAGTCCCCCCACAGAGCTCGCTGAGGCCCTCTTGTAGACTGGGACCCCTATGTTGGGAACTGCTCCACTACACTATACTCACGCAACAAACATTATTTACAAATGTATTACCTGTTATTTAAAGCCTAGGCTTCATTCATTCTGCATATCGTTTCTTGAGGTGGTAAACAATCTTGAGTGCGTCAGCTCACCTGTAATTTCATGACCACGACATGTCATTATGCAATGTAATACATATAGATGGAATTGATATTTCTAAATATATACTACACTGACTCTTGGATAAAGTAAGCTTAATTTCGCAAGTCATATATTTTAATTAGCGACACTCACCAGCGCTTTTTAATTCAGATTATTTGGATATTTTTGGATTTTTCAATGTTTTGATGTAATAATTTTATCATGTACTCTACAGAGCAAGTAAAAGGCTTTAGGCCGAACAGTCATTTTTGTTGAGCCCTGGCCACTGATACAGATAGAGACTATATTACGTTTATCCATGTAGAAATGGAGGTAAAATGGAGCCAGCTTTTTATCTGTCACCGATGGTGTTCCCTGCCCTCCATTTTCTGGAAGATTCCATTTGAAATCCATAATTTATATAGCTGATATTTTTACATCTCCCTCTCTCCGTCTCTCTCTCTATCTCTCATGGGCTCTCGGGTTGGTTCTGCATTCAGGGAGACTGTGCAATTGTCTGTGCTACTTAGCTCTAGTGAAGGAGCAACCCAGAAGGCCCAAGAGCACTCAGGATCCTTCTCTCCATCTCGCCATCTTCCTGCCTCCATCTTATGTGTTTCCTCATTACCTCTGCCGAGCTTTCTTAGGCCGCAGACATCTTTGCTGCATTATGTATTAGAGGCAGAACTTGGCATGGAAATATAATGCAGTGGCACTCTTCTGACGAGCCTTCGCTAGCGGCGTCGCATTTAAGCACGCAAATAAAACCGCATTCCCAGAAGTTATTACAAAATGCGACTGGATTGCGAGGTGGCTTTTTTCGGGGGGGAATATGCATCACATGATTTGAGATCTCTAGGCTCGCAGGCTACAGCAGACGGTGGACGTGAGCTGTAGAGGAGGGAGAATGTTGTGGATAAGGGTGAAGGGAGTGGGTTGGCTGATAAGAGACAGTAATATTTGCTGCTCCACTGCTGCCCACGCCTTGCCTAACGCTGGCAGGCATGTGTGCTGGTACACTTGCACACGCAATTGGGCTCTGGCTAACATGCGCACACATTCGCATTGAGGACGTGTCTGTTTTCTGTAGGCAAGAGAGAAGTGATTCGCTGCTGTCTAACAGATCTGACCGTTGATGTTTTTTGCCCTTCATACAGCCAAACTATGGAGCGTTCCTCGTATTCCTGGAGGGTGGAATGTTTTTGTAGCATTGTTTTAGGCCATGCGGTGCTCGTATGAATGATTCACTATAGGTTGTTTTCAATCACGTGGTTCTGGTGACGTGCGAAATTCAGATGGAGGGCAGGAAGAAACAAACTGTATGGGAGACACAGAGGAAAGTCTGTATTTTTGCAATTTATACCACTTTTGCTATTTAAACCAGTAGATGTAAACAAATAATAAGCACACATGTTGAGCATGATTCTTATATCATGAAGAGAGCCGAGTTTTCTACTGAACTAAAATATATTGGCCTGTCATCGAGGTGGCATTTGAGCGATTCCAGCGTTATGGATGTGACATTTGCAGTAAAAACTCAAAACATAAATTCACATAGAAAGTATATGTTAACGTTATATTGAAGCTTTTGTTTATATTTTCTAGAACAATTCGCTTCATAGTTATGGACTTGAAAAATATCAATCTGTAAACATGTTTTGTACTTTAAATGCAGAAAATAAACATGCGCTATGGATATGACAAGAAAAGTCTGCAAGTTTACAGTATGCAGCATACTTGGTAGAAATTCTGTGAGTTAAACTGCAGAACCCAAAAGAAACAATGCTAATCAAAAGGATAAGAGTTGACTCTCTATAAAAAGAAAATGATTGGTTTTATTTTATTTAATATTTTCACATTTATGAG